GTTGTTACAAGACACATATTACGTGAAATTGTAGTAAGTGCTGTATTCTTTAATCCGAGTACATTTTACGAAATAGCTGTAAGTGTAGCATTATTTAAAAGGCCTATAGTTAACTGATTCTGAATTTATCGAATTAAATAAGATATATTTATGTCACGAGGCATCTTTTCATGATGCAATCATAATTAATTCAGTGAAAAGAGGTGAAGTTAATTATTTCATAGCTTGCTATTACAAACTTGGTTGGCTTTTATCCAGTCTAGTTGCAGCTTTATCGTCTTTAAATGTAAAAAGTTCAGCGACCTTACATGTTACTGAAGACTACGATCAGTTTAACCTTGTACAAAGGTTTTAGTGGTTTGGTCGGTTTTAGATCAGTTATGAGAACTCATGCTGAGTTCTGAGAATTCTAAGTGCAAGAATTATTTTAACGCTACTTACCTGATGAAATCAATGACCGCTTTTTAATTAGTGTTCCCCTTAAAACTTCTGTAGGCAACACTAAAACTGCTGAAAGGGTTTGATACAAGACAGCTCTGCCTGGGCCCAAGGTACAAAAGCAACGATTCAAAAGAGTTTTTCAATGTGTGTATTTTTTTATATCTAAGTATTATAGTGTTATATGTCCATGTTTAGAAAGGTATTTTACACAGGGCACTCAACACTTTAAAAAAGGATAAACGAAGTGATGGAAGGCCTTCCACTATAGAGAGAGAAAGAGAAAGAGAGTAGGTAATTTTGCTACTAGGAAGTCACCTCTTCCCTTTACGAAGAGCATTACGTAGTTAAAACGCACATGTAAGAATTTATAGAAATACTTGCTCGAAAAAGTTGCACTGGCTAGGAATCAAACCACGATTTGCAGCATGCTGACTCATGATGCAGCTAACTAAGCAACCATGCATTGTATTGTCTTTCATGGATTATTGTCTCAGTACATATCTTTGGGTTGGAGAACAAGAGAAAAAGTCCTAAGTTTGATTTTCCAATTTACTCTTTGTCACATTATGGTGCCTATATAATTGACTACTAAATATTCAGAGCTTAGAGCCATACTAAATAGCTTGTTTAAAAGTTGACAAAAAATTTGCTTCTTTACTATCTTACATTCAATCCCATATGTATAACATAGTCTCTTTGAAACTTTTCTAAAATGGCGATTTTATGCGTTTGTGTTCACAACTAATGTTAAAAAGATGTTCTGGTAGGTACTAGTTCATCCTGATAATAAAGTTCCTTCGACTACACTTTTAAGCTAAGAACCGTCAAAGCCAATAAAAACATTTTTGCTCCCACGTTTACTTAAAGCTCAGCAAGCTCGCCATACCTAGCCAATCGTGCTCTTTACTAGTTGACAACTCATAGAATTAAGTCCCATGCCAGAGCTGCTAAAGTTATTTTATAGGAGTTCTACGTCAACGTCTTTCTCTCTAGTGCTTACTTAAAAGTTGCAGTACAGAAGAAAAAAGTATGAGACTTAGCTCAATCAGGATGTTTTTTTTTTTTAGAAAGTGGTCTGTAAATTCTTTCAAATACTTTCTGACCAGCCTGATGGATTCAAGGTTGTCAATCCCTAAACACTAAAGGCATTAGTATATATTATTGGCTTATCTGAGAACCCTTAGAGTACTAAATTTATAAATTTGTATTCCAACTTGTGGTTAGCACTAGTCTTCAGTCTTATATAAAACGGTCCTTGTTTACTCAATGAGCCAAGATCATTGAGTTTTTTTTGTTAGTTTTTATCTGTTCTCATTCTGGAAAGAACTCTTATTCAATTAGTAGTTATGTGACACTAATGCTTGTCGGTAAATTAGAAATTGATAAGACCAATAGTATAAAAGCAAATGTGGATCATCTAAATCATTGTATCAAGTGGTGCATACGCATGGATGGCGGTACTTTCAATACAAGCACTCTTTATCGTCCATATGTGCTTTTTTCTCAATATCTAATATGCTTGAGACTCATGATACTAAACCACATAGTTTGTTTTACGAGGAAATTTCTTAAGAAATAAATGAAAATGAGAAAAATATCCTCCCCGGGTGCGGATCGAACACACACTCCTGTTTACTAGACAGTTGCTCTACCACTTAAGCTACCGAGGAGCTGTACATTCACTCGCACCGTAAGTTTCGATGAGCTTCTTATTCTTAGTTTTAAGAGCTATCTTTCACATAAGCTCGATATAGTAGTTATGTCATTCTAATTCTTGTCGGTAGATTAGAAACTAATACGACCAATAGTATACAAGCGAATGTAAATACATTTAAATCATTGTATCAAGAGGTGCATATGCATAGATGGCAGCACTTTTAATACAAGCACTCTATGTCCTCCATAAATGCCTTTTCCTCAATATCCAATATACTTAAGACCTATAATACTAAACCACATAGTTTTCAGGGCTGTCCGAAGGGCTCCTGTTTCTTTTACTTCGTTCTATTTTCTTTTGGGCAGTGCTCAGGGTTCTTGTCTTTACCTGCCATCGGAACTTTTCTTGCCTTTGTTCCCTACACTGCAGAGATTCGAATGACAACTTCCAAGCGTTTGCATACACTTCATCTTCATGAAGAAAGCCTTTTCTTAGCACCTCTGCCTCTTGAAGGTGTTTAAGCGCGGCTTTTAGCCCATTCTTAACAGCGCTCGCTGTGTTGCCGTACTTATTGTTGATTAATTGTAGCGTCTCGGTAATGTCTTTTGTTGCTGATTGGACTGTATCAGCCACTTGCTGTCGCTTCAATCTGAGTTTAGCACCATCTCCTTCTAGAAAGGCAAGCTCTTCCTGGGTCTGGTGGCTAAATGCCACCACGTTGCTGTCCTCGGTTTCGTCAGTGCCTATGCTCGACAGGTTTCCTCTTCGTCCTTTGTCCGTTAGAAAGGGCCATGGAACATTAAACAGTCCCTGATGGCCATGAGACATGTCTTTGTCCCCTCCCCCCCAGAATCTGTGGGGCCTACAACAGTCCCCCGGGCTTCCACCGGATCGGAACTGCTGGCGGATTCCCTCAGAGAGGTTACCGCCTGGGGTACAAGTTTTGCATCGACATATATATGACTACTAAGGATAAACATTTCGATGTAGTAAAGGACTACTGAACTAAGGCGTTTTTAAAGGCTCTTCATCATTTTGTGTGGCCTAAGGTAACTGTACTAGACTTTATAGGTATGAAGGAACAAATTTTGCACTGACCATGATATGAGAAAAATGTTGAGCAGTCAAGGTAAATCCATTCGTTTTGCTAATAATTTATGATGGCAAGGTATACTTTGGCATGTTAACCCACTAGATGCTTTTGACTGTAATATTATTTGGGAGCTAGCCACTAAATAGGCCAAATTTTTTTTAAAATGCGCCGTTAGGGACAAACTTATGCCATTGATTAAGTTTCAATCTTTGATTTGTTGTATTTAACTATATCTCACGGTTTATCACAATCCAATGTTCCTAATTAAAGTAGTTTAGATGAAAACTAATGATACAGTCTTACAAAAACCGGCTCTTAAGTTAATTTTATAAAGAACTAATTCTGAAATCGATGCTAATTACTTAGAATGTGGATAAAATTTTCTTTACTGTTAATATTACCTGCTAGTCAAAGTCTGATGTTACTTATCTTTACTGTTATTAAGACTTTGTGTACTTGTTTGAGAAATAATCTAAGCCATAATTTAAGTTTAAAGGAAAGACATGCTTTAAATATTCATAATTACCTTTTTTAGTAGATAAGCAATCTACATGAATACTTTTCTCAGATTTTTAATCATTAGATAATTTGGAAGTAACAATTTTCATATTTTTTGTACAAGTTAGCAACAGTTTGCAATTATTGTTTGTACAACAATTAATTGCCAGCGTTATTTATTATTCTAGTTGATATCATCATATATTTGTTCATTTTTCATTTAGCGTCACAAGCATCATTTATCATTTTCTTTGGTATCCCTAATATATTTTTTCAAGTATTATGGCAAATGTATGTCCTTTTTTAGTATTACTAAATTAACATAACTCTTGTTTCAGTAAAGTTTAAGTGTTGTGTAATTCTTTCCGCCAAAGTCAAAATTCTACTATTTTATCCAGCATCTATAATTCAAACGTTGTTTGAAATGTTACAATGAATTGACTCGTACAGCAATGGTACTGAGGTATCAATAACTGTTAAAGATAGCCATAGCTTTCTTCACGCTTTTAATCAACCTCTTGTGCAAGTATAATGAGACTTTTTTTGATATAATAAGCAGTGCTTATCGAACGATCACGAATGGCACTAGTTTTTTGATTTTGCTTTTGTATTCTATTTTATTGACAACTACTAAATCTATGTAAACTATAAGTCACTAAGATTTTGCAGATATAATTATTTCTATGAAGCTGCATTCACCATAAAAATGTACATAACACTAGAAACCACTTATTAAATAAAATATGTTTATCAGTATTTCTATGAATCAAGTATGTATGGATCATAGAACATGAATTTTCAAAAATTTATAAATTTCTAAAGTTAGAATGATGATTAATTACATTCCATGCAAAAGTTTTTTTTTTAATATCCAAAGCTACATTTTCTTTTAAATTATAAGAAACTATTAGTGTAAGCAGTTACATCATGATAAGTACCTAACTCTGCAAAAGGGTGATTATCCCCCATATTTTAGGATATTATATTCTTCAAAGATTTTATAAAAACATTAACCGAAAAACATTTAATTTTAATATATTTTTAGCCCCCTGTCACTTTGTTGAATTTCAAATATCTAGTCTGCCTTCATTGCTTAATATAAAAATGATATCTACTATGTGTGTCGCTCACAATTAAATTAAAAACAGTAATTTTTTTAGTCGTATCCAACTTTCTTTGTCATTTTTTGAACGTAAACATTAATGCTTTTGTTTTTATCTGTTTGTTACATGATTCCACACATTTTATGGAAATTTCTATTGATGTTGGATGGCTCTTTAACTTCAACAATTCATGAATTTCGATTCTAAGGTTCTTAAGGTACGTAAAATTTTAAAGTATAATGGAAGAGCAGTAATATAAAACACATTTTTTTGTATGTTTAAACAATAATTTCATACTTTTTAAGAGAAGTCTGTTTTAAAAGTAAAAAAATAGATACTGGATAAGTGTTTTAATACATAATTAACTTATTTAAAAAAGTAGTTAAATATTTAATTTTAAAACACAGTAATAACTCTCAAGTTCGGAATAAAATGTGATTAATGTCTCAGCTTAGTTATACTCTCTCTCTTTTTTTAAAGAGTGTTTCCTCCACTTTACGAATAATTACTTCTATAGTTTTCCACTCAGACATCTTGAAAATGTTGAGAAAAGTATTTTTTTCTCATTATTTGTACAGACAAGAGTTAACATTTATAATATTACAATCTGACTCCTTGAGTTTGCAATCTTGGCTTTTTAAAACTTTTTTATCGTTTCAATTGTGACTCTCATATATTGACTAAAATTTCTGTCCATCTATTTTTTTTTAGTTTTCTGATTTTAATACACCTAAATTATCTAATGGCACTTATTTATGAAAATTCTTAGTCAGTATATAAGCCAACTTTTTTTTTTAATAAACAGTTTCCATTGTATCAATATTTCACTATTTATAATCATGATTAACAAAACTGTATTGTACTTTAATGTACTTTTAATTTTTTATTGCGTTTCTGAATTTTTCTTAAGCAACCACTCCTAACTCATTACTACATTTAATAACTGGCATTTAAAAATTTTTTTGTAATGTTTCTTTTGATGAACTTTGAATAAATGATATTTTTGTTATAGCTTTTGAAAATGGTGTGTACTCTGTAAAAATTAAGCATTTAGTTACATTGCTTTGCTTTTCTATCTTAAAAAAAAAAAAATTACTATACATTTTTATTCGAAATCCTTTTGTAGACTTATTATTTCTTAAAGAATCGTTCTTTATTACTCAGAAATTTATAATTTACACTTTTTATTTCTATTAATAACCTTTTATCTGTTTTTCTTTTCTTGAAATAATGAATGGAAAAACGTTAAATTTGCCAAGTTAAAATCTAAAGAGTCAGTGCAAAGCATACAATATGCACTATCAATGATGCACGGAAAGCTGTATGAGATATGCGCAAGCATTATCGGCGAATATGTATAATCGACAGTGTGAAGAGAGATAGCGCAGATTACGGCGGTAAATCATCGGTAAATCTGCTATAAAATGCGTTGACATGCAAGAATACATGTTCTTTATCCAGCTAGCCTGGGACGCAAAGATCCACTGCTAACCCAGACCTGGGACTCTCCCGTGGATTCACCATGACGTGCATGATTCAAGAGAGAGAGAGAGAGAGAGAAAGAGATAGAGCAATCAATTAGTACAGACACCAGTAATAGTGGCGTTGCTTTTTGGGCAAAGTACCAGGGTTGATTACTAGATACCAAGGGCCCTGAGGAAGACCTAGCCCTACGTGACTTTTCTAGAATAGGGACAGCATCTGTGCCTGGCTCTTTGCAGCTGACCTTATACTTTATCCTAGATAAACTACGTGTCTGTAGAAACAAATTTACCTACAGCAAAATTTTAAATTATTTTAATCATAGTTTGAAGAAAGTTCAAATTCGAAATAAAATTTAATTTTCGTACCCAAGCACTTAATTTAGATGGTCTTTGAGTAATTTGAATACTTTGAAATAGAATGGATAGAGTTCTTTGCTAGTTCAAAATCGCACTAATTATTTTAATTAATATAAGTATTAGTATAGTAATTAAATAAAAAGTGACGTTATAGTGATGAAAAGTACAAGTTCTTTATGAAAATAAAATTAAACAAATTGAAGAAAGAAAAGACTCAAGTAAACTTATTGAATAAAACCTACCTATCTATAGGTAGTTGCAAGTCCTTATATTGTTTATGATTTCTATGAGAATTTAATTATTAGTTAGTTTTATTATTTGTTTTACAATTTGAGTGATTAAAATGTTGTTTTTCTTAAAATTAGCTAAGAAATAGATCTTTGCCTAAAGAGACATTAGTAATATTATATAAAATAAGAAAGAACCTAAAAAAAAAATCGCAGAGAAGAAACATAAAAATATAAATATAGCTTAATTTTTTAAGGGAGAAAAAATCAATATAGCTTTAATTAAAAATAATCACTGTTGACATTGCAGAGATTAATATATTATTCAGTAACTTAATTTAAAGATTGGTTGAAGCTACTTTTTAATACATTTTTTTTTAAATTGGCAACCCCAGCAACTTTTCTTTTTACACAAGGCAACGAACCCAACCTCTAACATATAAACACAAACATTAATCGTGTGTTGGTTTTTAATTTTCGAGTTTTTTCAGTAGAAATAAAAGTCTTAGCTGTTTTTTCACTACCGTCAACTAACCAGGTTTGGATTAAATGAAAAAAAGGTCATTGATGGTACCCTTGATGGGACTCGCAGTAATAAGAAGGAGTATTTAAACAATTAACCAACATAAATTTATGAAAAATTTTACAATTGAAGTTTCTAGATTATTTACTAACTTTATCAAAGTTTTGGTAAAAGGTACTTAAAAATATTTTTTTCTATCGAATCGGTAACCCCTCACAACCTTGCTTTTTTACAGTGGGTAACAAACCCACCTTCTTACTCATAATCACAGACATTGATTGTGTATTTGTCCCTAATCTTAAGGTTTTCCTGATACAGATAAAATCCCCACTAATTTTTTTACAATCGACAAATCACTGCAGTTACACATAAAAAAAAAGACGTAAGCTATATACTAAGTAAACGCAAAAAACGTCGTGCATTAAGTTACTTTGCACCAAGTTTAGTTATCTTTGACATCTTGAAAATTAGTAACATCAGAGAACGTTCATTTTAGTTTATTTTGTAAAGCTTTTGGTGGTATTTAATTTTTTTAACCATATTATCTATAACAGGAAGATTAATAATATTATAACATACAATTAGATTAATAAAATTAAACTTTTTATTGTAATCGTCAGGGTTTTAGGGTATGGAAAAAACCCTATGGATATTACTATAGTAGGCAGACATTGTATGTGAATATGAGTAAATTAAATTATCTACTATAGTTAATGTATGGGTAGGTTTATAAAAAATACTGTACTTAAGTTGATTATTTACTATATCTTTTTTACTAGTCTATCGCTTAGTCTTGTTGTACACACGTCCGAAGGATGTACTGTGATACCTTAACGGCCTTAACGTTTCTGAGAAAGTGAATATAGTGAGAATTTACTAGTTTATAACAGTCTTTTAAATTAATTAACCTGAAAATGATCTTTATCAAGTTACCACTAATACTGTCATATATTTAAATTAACTCTTAAAACAATCTATCTATCTTTGCCATTTACACAGGGATTATTTTTGATTATTGGTTCATAAATTTTTTCTTTCTTCGAAAAGTGAATCTGAATTATTCCATTATGCTTCTTTTTTATAATTTGCTTTGGTAAGTCTCTCTTATTCAAACCACGTTCATTTATGTCTCTTTGGGTGAAGATAAAAGCCTTATTCATTAAAACCTTGTTTTTTATATAAATCAATTTTTTACCAAATTGTACACTAAAACTAGATGAGATCAGATAAAAATTTCTTAATTAATTTTATTTTTGCCTTAAAATACATAAAGACTTAATAAAATATTAACCTAAACTGTATTTCTTGAACAGACGTAACGAAATTTAGAAACTTTTTTTTTCTTTATCACACTGTGTGTATTCTTGGCCGTTTTTTATATTTTGTTTGATAGTGTGCCATTTTTAATTATTTGATTATAAGTTTTAGATCTGTTTTATTTGTTTAAGTGTATTATTGTTTGATTTTTTTGCTTATTTTGCAAGTATATCAAAAGCCTTAGTACCATTTCAATCATTCTTATTGATGTACTGACTTAACAAACTGGCCGCCACGTTTTTTTCTCCTCTTGATGTATATTAGTAAAAAATTTTAACTTCCAGTTGAAAGCGTCCATCTAGGTTATCTGGCTATTAAAATTTGCCATAGCATCAAGTATGATAATGTATGATGGTCATATTTATTGTGAACTTTTAAACCTAGTATAATCAAACGGAGCTTGTATAATGCCAAAATGATTGTTAATAGTTTTATCTCTGTTGTAAGATTATTTTGCTACCTTTATCAGTTGACTTCCCAAGTTGACTCTTTATTCTTTTTTCTCGTTATTTTTGGGTCATTGGATGGCTCCGAGTGCAATTTTATTCGTTTTTTTTTTTTACTTTGGCCTTGAATTTTTTCTCGACTTTTGGTGATTTTTTACCTATAAACCAGCATGATTAAAATTTTATTATCAGAAGAGTAAGGAAATTTATCTATGTACTATTCTATTTTTTCAAACTTTTTGGACGTACATGATAATTCGCTCCCCTTATCCATAAATGCCTTTAGTTAGATACCGTACATTTAAATATAAGTTCCTGGGCCTACGAAAAGCCTTATTGGTAAATAGATTTTTGTTATGCAGTTCTACTAGCAGTGTCTGTCCTCAATCTTCGAACACTGTATTTATTTCCAGATTAACTCAAAAAAATTTTTTGCTTTGATTTTCATGGCAGAGTATGTGTAATGCCTCCTCCTGTCGTTGTATCTCGTGAGATATATGCTTTAAAATCTTATAGGACTTAGAATACGACGTCAATTTGTTTTTCAGATTTTTTAGTTTTTAAATCAAATGTGTCTGGATCCCCTGAGTCCCTAGATTGTAAGAGATGCTTTGTAGTCTCTCTACGTAAAGTTGACTTGAAGTATTAATATTGTTGTTAGTATTTTGTCTTGAGTTTGTATTGCAATTATTATTGTTCATGGGATTGTTATTTAAGTTGTTACCGTGGTCTTGTCAATTTATATTTTCTAGGTTTGGTATGATAGCCCGAAAGTTATTTCAGTTTTGCAAGAGACGAAAGCTTACTTGTCTTTTGTAATCTACGTATGAGTATTCTATGATCGTGATGAAACTATTAAATGA